TTTGTGTTGTTTTTCTTCTACGACTGTCGTATGAACGTTGACATGGAAGAAATTCGAAAATCCCCTTTTGGAATCTCCTAAGTACATGCCATCTGTCTACCTTATTTTGCATTATGCATAGCTCCTATCCATTCTTGGGAGGAATATGGCATGTAACCGACCAACGTTATGTGACCTTTCATGCCACATGACAGCATTATAGCTCCATAACAGAGCCAAGGCACATTGCCTGCCGCGTCCGTCATTGGCATAGCTTTATTTGGTCAGCGGCGGCTTCATCCAGCGAATCGAGGCCGATACGGCCAAAAAATGCGATGCCGCGTTGCCCGTAGACAATGAATGAGCGGCGAGGGTCTTCGCTGAGGCCCGCGGCCCTGCGTGCCCGGTCACCATCATGTCGTCGTCAGCACGGCCGCGACGGCGCAAAAACCCCGGCCAACCCTTTATCTTTCTCAGCCAACGCTGGCTTCGTTACCACATCATGACACTAATTAGTGCTGTGTGACTCGCTTCTCAGGTGTATTCCCTACTCACAGCAATTAAGCCCCCTATTACGGTGGGCTAATGATGGCGTTGTTTACACTGGACGGGTGGCCGTGTGGCAAGGTTTGTTCAGCCCGGAAAACGGCCACGCGTAAAAATTACGCACCGCCTGGATGATCAGATCAAAAGTTAACTGTATCATCAACGTGTCCTGGGAGCCCTTCTGGTGCGATTTTCTGCGGCTAATTGTTTTGAATGGCTACCGGTGGGGCGAATTATGAGTAATTACAGCTGGCTAAAATTGTGTAATCACCTGCGGTACCAGCGTGTAAGCGTCAAAGTCAGAACTGTCGGACCGCAGACTGCCAGAAATGCGTGTTAGAAAGTAGCCATATCAACACGGAGCTCGTCCCGGACGGCGGGCTTCCCACGACAGCTGTCAGCCCCTGCCGGAAACTGGGCTGGGGGGCGTGCGTCCTGTCGACTGGTATGTCCGCCCCCGGCAGGCTGCTCCCAGCCCCTCCCCATTCCATCGCAGCCCCGCTCCCAACCCGCTCCCGTTCTGTGCTCTCATCCCCGCTCCTATCCCACCTGTCGCCCACTTCCACTCCTCCCGAACCACTGCCGGCCCCGCCCACCCCCTCCCGAGCCGCTTCCAGCGCCGCTTCGCTGGGTCGTCCCGGCGCCGGACCTGGCGCGGCCGCGCCGGCTCTGCCGACAGTCGCGGCGCGGCGCGGCGCAGCGCGGCGGGGCGCCCGGCCCGGCGCGCCGCTGACGGCTCTATTACCCGCATGCCACGCGCAACGGGGGGCGCTGTTAATCTAACAACCATTAGTTTTTGCCGGCATCCCGGGATTGGATCTACACAAATGTTTACTTAGTCGGATGATAATTTATTTTGTATGCATTTACGAGGCGGGTCGGCGGCGGCGCGCAGCGCTGACGCTTCGGGACGGTCGGCAGTGACGCGGCGGCCGGCAGCGGCGCCGGCGCGGATGGCTGCCGAGCTGCTTCTGCGGTCGTCTCATAGGTGGCGCTGATGCGTATCGCCGCGATGTCGCCGCTCAATTAGCGGACGGCTGCAGGGCGCCGCCTGCACCCGGCTGGAGCGGCTGCAGGGCACCGCAGCCGCTTAGCTGGGGCGGCAACAGGACACCGTGGCTGCTGCTGCCGCTCAGCCGGGCAGCAGCAGGAGGTCGCTGCTACTGCGCTCGGTCGGAGCGGCTGGGGGCTGCAGGTCAGCAGTCGCTGCTGCCGCGTCAGCCGCCGGCCGCCGCTGACCTCGGCCGGCTCTAATAGCCGCCGCCGGCCGGCCGGGGCCCGTTCATCACGGCCAGCGATGCCATCGCGGCCGATCGGTCAGCGGCGGGCTGCGCGCCGGCCGCGTCGTTCTCACCGCATCTCAAGCAGCACCGGCCGCAGACCGATCGGGTCGTGTAGGCCGGTCTGCCGAACTTAGCCACCGCATACGTTTGGCCCCGGCCGCGGCCTGACAACCAATTAATGGCTCCCACTTTATCGCCGTATTAGCATGGACAAGACGGATGCAGCGAGCCCACGCTGCGTCCTCTTGGATACCACGTATGCAAACCGGCTGGCGGAGCGGCTGCGGACCCGGCTCACCAGCGGCCGGCCCGGGACCGGCGGGCTGCTCGACCTGCCGGGGCGACCAGACGCATCCCAGGCTCAGCCCGCGAGCATTGCTCGGCTGACCTCCGGCGGTCGGACCCTTCTCCGGGCCGAGGACGTCTCGGTGCACGCTTCGGGCGCTGGTGGAACACTTGGCATCCAGGACGGGGCGACGCGTCCGGGATGACCTTTTTCGTCCGGGGCGATGTTCGAGCTGACCTTTCAGCGTGCCCGGTGGAGCCCAGTTCTGTCCATTGCCACCATTCAGACCGGCGCGCGAGCCCGCAACCCTTTGACGGACGAGGCAGGCAGCCGAGCGCTCGCCCGTCCGTCCAGCGCTGGCGTTTAATGGAGATGATTGGCCGGGCGGCCGTCAGGCGGAATTCAGCCATTACTGCGTCGGGCGCGGCGCCCCGGGCGACACCGCCCTAACAACCCGTCAGTGTACATTGCTCCCGGTTACTGCTGGCGTTTACATGGCCCACTAACCGCCGGCTAGCGTCCGCTGTGCTCGCCCAGCGCCGGCCGAATACACGGCCGGGCGTGGTAGCCGCCGGCGGCCCGGTGTGGCCGGCCCCGTCTCGAATGCTCCTCGGCTGCGGCTGCTGGTGGGGCTGCGCTGCTGCTGCTGACGGCTGGGCTCGGCGGCTGGCTACCACGTTCTGCAACGCTCCACCTGCACTGCCCAGCGCACAGCGAGGCCCGCGCTGCGCGGCGTTTGGCGCGACTGCTGCGCGCGGCCGCTGTGCGCGGCGGCCTCGCTGCTGTGCGCAGCCGCCGTGCTGCGCGCGGCGACCCCGCTGCTGTGCGCAGCCGCCGTGCTGTGCGCGGCTGGTAACGCGAGGCCCGCCGGTGTCGGTCGTGCCATTAATCTGCACTCGTGACCGCTCCCCGGGCGGTTGGGTTACCGCAGCTCCATAAACGTCCGACGGGACGCGATCTGGAGGCGCGATTAGCCCCGCTGACCGGCCAGGAGACACTCGGCCGGGCCGGGACGCGGCCGGGAACTGCGGGACATTCGATCCCGGGACACTGACCTGGGACACTCGGAGATGGGAGGCGGCCGGTAATTGCGCAGTCGGTCGGGGTGCTCTGATGAGACGGACACCTTTGAGACATAAATTTGACATATACGTGGTGGCCATTGTCAGTGAAGTCGTACTGCATGGCATGGACAGCCACGTGCAAACAAACAGTGCGTCACAAAACTGCTTGCACACAGTATAGGGCCCCAGAACACAAGGGAAAATGTGCAGCGAGAGCCAGCGCAGAGCGTACGGGAGAGAGAGAGAGAGGAGAGAGCAGGCTGGTGGAACCGACGTTGTGTATCAAACGGGCATAGGTGATGAAGCGGTGCAAAAGAGGGAGGGGCAGGTGGTAGATACTTATCCATCTGCCAAACACCTATCACCAGACTCCGCCCCAAATCTACATACATTACCCCGGTAATGTCTTCATCAAGCGATCTTGCATACCAGTGCATGATGCAATTCCATTGAGATAGACCATTACCCCGCCCAGTGACGGGCTGTGGCGAGTCGACCTCCAACTCATGCAGCCCCCATAAAAGATCTTGCGCTTCTCTTCTCATTAACGCTGCTCTGCAGGCGTTAACCCTATTACGAGTGCAAACTCACTTGTTATGGCCATGCTAAAAAGTCCATTAAATGTAAATACAATGTAAATGTTCATAAATTGGCAATTACTTAACTGATTTAGAGTCGTTATATATTACACCGAGCAGTAACCGGTAATTATTGACCTGTAATAAGCGCCATCAGTGCCGTTGCGACAGCGCGTGAGCGAGAGAGCGAGCAGGAACGCCAGCGAGGACGACGGAGCGCGGAGCAGACCGCGAACGGGCAGCGCCGCCTCAGCGCGCAGCCAGGCAGCGCTGACTGGCTGCGTGCTGCCTCTGTCGGGGAGGCAGCGCGCAGCCGCGGCTCAGTATGCGGCGCGCAGCAGCGCGATAACGCCGCTCCGCACCGGCCGACGGTCACAATAAGCCGAGCCTCACTAATCAGTTTAGCATAATATGGCCGGGTAAAAAGCGGGTCGGCTGCCGCGGTGCGCGCCGGCAGGCCTGAGCCGAGCTGACAGTGGCGGCAGTTGGCTGCGCGCCGTTTTTGGCCGGCCGTCCCGCCGGGTCAGGCGCCGGTCGGGCGTGCGTCTTCATCGGCCGGCCGGACAGGTGGGCGAGCCGCAGCGGTGGCCGCCGGCGGACGCGCCGGCGCTGGGAAGCAGTGGTGCTGCCGGGCTTGGGGACGGGGGTCTGTCGGGGAGTCAGGTGGTGCTGCCAGGCTCGGGGACGGGGGTCCTGTCAGGGAGTCAGTGGTGCTGCCAGGCTCGGGGACGGGAGCCTGTCGGGGAGTCAGTGGTGCCGCCAGGCTCGGGAACGGGGGACTGTCGAGGAATCAGGGTGCTGCCGGGCTTGGGACGGAGGACTGTTGGGGAATCAGTGGTGCTGCCGGGCTCAAGGACGGGGACCTGTCGGGGAGATCAGTGGTGCTGCCAGGCTCGGGGACGGGGGCCTGTCGGGGAGTCAGTGGTGCTGCCGGGTTCGGGGACGGGGGACTATCGAGGAATCGGAGTGATGAGGGTCGTACCACGGGACAGGACTGCGGAAGCTGTTTGTGCTACGATTGGGCACCAGTTTTACCAGGGTTTACGAGAACCCACAAAGCCTGCTTCTGACACGGGCTACTGGCTTTGATTGAAATCCTGTTGTGTTGATGCTGTGAGTCACCTGTCATGACTGGGCGCACTTTCTGTGGATGTACTCAGCCTGTGATGTCCACACAGGGGTCCGGCGCCCGCTCGGGAGTCAGGCCGGACTTTTCCACGACTTTCGAGCCGCACGAGTTTCTCACGCCTCGTTTACCTTCCAGGACCGCACCTCCCCGAGTTTCTTTTTCAACCGTTCCGGAAGCCGAAGCGGATCCGGACGGCGTTCTCGCCGACGCAGCTTCTGAAGCTGGAGCACGCCTTCGAGAAGAACCATTATGTGGTGGGCCAAGAACGAAAGCAGCTGGCGCAGACGCTGAGCCTCTCTGAGACGCAGGTGAGCGACGATGAAACACTGTGACGCAAGTGAGCGATATTTAGACACTCTGTGACGCAGGTGAGCGATGTTGAGACACTCCGACAGGCAGATGTGCAATGCTAATCCATTCGAGGCATTGCTGAGCAGTGATAGCCCCCCTAGAAGCAGGTAAGAAGTGTGGAGTCTCCTTCAGCTGCAGGTAAACGGTATTTAGCCTCACCTGGGCATGCTCGGTCCTAACGACTGACGAGCTGAACCTCGTCTCGCCCAGATGTTGCTATTTCTCTTGAACTGCCAAGGAGAGCTGAACCCAGATTCATTTTTGCATCGCCTCTTGTAAGCATTCCAGTATATAATGATGCATCTTATCATAAGGCATGCATCCTTAGGTGCCCCTGTCCACGCGCTAGCGACGGGAGGCCTTTTGGCAACAATGACGCTTTTATGGAAACAACGTTTTCGCTACGGGAAAATGGTGAAATTTTCATGTTTGGAAGTTAGAGTATGCAAGTTAAACGGGCACGCCCCCCCCCCTCCCCCTCCTGTCCGCGTTTCTGCACCTCGCTGTCTATGTGGTCTTCGTAACCCTGAATAGAGATGATTGAGCGACCCATGCAACTGCATTCGCCCAGCTGAAAGCACAGCCAGCATTACATAATACCTTCCGTTTGCTGCATAACGGAGAGAACAGTGGAGCTGAACACATACACATACAAATACACATTCGTATCGCATCAGACAGATATAATTTTCACCTTTGGGGCAAAATTATGATGATGGAATATAAGCTAAAAGAACATCAAACGACCGATGTCTAATTTTTAACGCTGACCCTGAACTTTGGAAAATGTAACATTGATTCTCGGCCATTGCGTAGGATTGCCTGCCGCAGATATGTGCCAGGTTCGCAATGCATCTTCCCGGGAACCAGTTCCTGGTTCCTTGTTCCGGAACCGGGACGAAGCTGGGAACCAGCTGGTATTAGGCGGAGGGATTCAGCAGGAATCGGGATCCAGCCTCACAAAAGCCAAAGATCTAGCAAGAACCAGGATCCTACCTCATCTGACGTCAAGAGCTCCAGCAAGACCCCAGATCTAGCTTGACAATAGGTCAAAAGGCCCAGCAAGAACCAAGATCCAGTATGATGCCAAACCAAGAGAACCAGCAAAAACCAAAAGAGCCAGAAAGATCCATGATCCAGCCTGGCATTTTGTTGAAGGATTCAACAGAAACCAAGATCCAGCCTAACGTGATATCAAGAGACTCAGAAAGAACCAAAATCCAGCCACAGTCTGGAAAAAATAGAGGTTCAGCGGGAACCAAGATACAACTCAGGATCAAGCTGAGATCCAGCAAGAACGAGTCTTTGGTATGGGGTGGTGCCAAAGTATGCAGCAAGAGCCAGCATCTTGCCTGACACTCATGTTAGCCTTGTTTTCGAGGCTCAGCAAGGCGTTACTCAGAGACACATTCTTTTAATAAGCTTGGGAGACTAAGCAGTGAAAAGGGTTATTCCTACTTCCACTTTTTTCTTTAGACCTGGGGGGGGGGGGGGCGGTTGAGTTGACTTAACAATGTAAAAGTGCACCCCTGGTGTTCCTGAAAACTGATAAGAATGAATGGAACTAATGAACATTAACCATTTTAAAAATGGTCTAAATTTCAGTTGTATGATGCAGTCTTGTCACAATGAGACCCTGCAAACATCTGCCATACTTTGCCGAATGGAACATGGGTAATGTAGTCGTATGAATTTGATAATTGCATTGGTATGCGTGCATGCCATGTTGTATAGATGGCTCAAACATCTACTTTTGGCCCTTGTGACATGAACCTTCCTCTAAGGTTGTTAGTAAAATGTCCACAGGCGTAGAAATCTGCTGCTTCCGCCACAATATCTCCAAACTCAGTAAAATCAGTATTTCTTTGCTTCACATCGTGCCTGCCAACAATTCCTCTTTCACCGACGGCTGTCATGGAAGCTTCTTTCCATCCCAATGAGCCCTCCGCAACCGCGAACACAGGCGACCGCATGTTTCCACAACAGTATCTTAGCGACAAGACCAGAGAGTACCTGCCAGAACACAAAAATAACGGTGGTATCTGACCCCACTTCAACTGGTATTCCACCATCCGCTTTGTTGATATTCCTTTATTCCAGCGTAATAGAAACTGGTAGCTCTGAACCCAGCGCAAAACACGGACCTCGCTAGATGGCCTTGGGCATCGAGCGTTTTTCTAAGCACCATTTTGGAAACAACTAGTCTATAAATCATTATGTTACGAAAAACTACAATTGCATGTAAGCATGCAGAATCAAGTAATCTGGTCTGCAAGGGCAGTGAGCATACCGTTGTTATGCATTTTCCCGGAGGCCGTGTCGATTTGTAGACAATGGATGGAGGGCCGATCATCAGCTGACCGACCCGTACTGCTGACACTACCCTGTTTCTCTCAGCATCTGATTTGTGATCTATGTTCGGTCCATCTCATATCATTTCGTGTCATCACTTTGACATGAAAAGAATGGCACCATTCGATAGCAATTTACATGTCTGATAAGCAAAAAGGGCGTGAACACAGCATAGAGAGGTTATACAGTTATCCACGTTTTGTTGAGATCGGAAAGCAGGGACAATGGAAGGACACCCAATTTGGGCCCCGGTGATCCATATTTGTTGTCTCTTTTCAGTCAGCGCATAGTCAATATTTGCCTTATCTTGGAAGGGCCAATCTTGAATCTTTCAAAAATCAGGGGTCTCAGCCCTCTCTGCCGCCTACATCGGCCACAACCCTGTCAGATGGAAATACAAACGTTTTTACAAGAAAAAAAAACTATTGTAACTCTGGAAGCTGCAGTCCTGACAACATTCTTTGGGAGGGGGGGGGGGGGCATTGATGAATGGATAATTGAAATTTTAAGAATACTTCTTTTGCCTTGAAATCGAGTCTGGTATTGCAAGATTCTAGTGTGGTTGATTGGTGCACCAACCATAATAGACCCCTTCTATTCTGCAATGATGAGCACATGGTTTCAGTTGTCGGGTACCCATCAGTAAATGTTAGGCAATGAACTCCTACCAACAGTAAAGCTATATTAGCTGTAGTGATGGTACCAGGACATGCTGATTTGTTTGACTTGTCTGTGGTGTGTGACATTTAATTGCTTTTATAGCAAATTTGTGCATCATCCAGTCAGTTTCATCAGTTTCATGACAGTTTCATGACAGTTTCATCTGTCAGACACTCAGTTCTAATCTGTAGGCAATACTCTTCAAATGACAGTCAAGTTTTATGGGTAGCAGTAGTGGTATGAGGACATGCTGCATGACTTACCTGTATGCGCGACTTTTATGTGGCGTGAAGGGAGAAATATATGGGCTTTCTGGTGTGACAGTTTCAGCTGTCGGACACCCGTTTCTAAGTTGTAAGCAAATAATCTACAATAAGCAGTTAAGCTTTGTCAGTTGCATTGGTTCTATCAGGGCACGCCGGTTGACTTGTCGGTGGCGTGCAACTTCTAATAAACGTGAAAACAAAAATATGTTGGCTGTCTTTTGCAGCTTGCATTACCTTGTGGCTGAGAGCCATGGGCCAGGGTCTTGTACCCACAAAAATTGGTGACAACCAGCATTCAAGGTCCCGTGTTTCCGAAAGATCCAATGGAAAAACAGGAACCGGGACCATGACCTGCTAAAGAGCCAGAGGGAACCAAGATCTAAGGCTTGGCTTTGTCGAAGGAACCAGTAGGAACCAGGATCTAGTATTTTGTGGAAAGGACTAGCGAAAACCAAGCCACAGGATCTTGGATTTCTCAAAACAACCAGCAAGAAGCAGGATCAAAACTTTTGTTGTGTCGAAGGAACCAGTGGGAACTAGGATCCAGGATTTTGCCTTATCAAAAGAGCCGGCAAGAGTCAAGATCCAGCATCTTGCTTTGTCAAAAAGACCAGCCGGAAATTTACCAGGCAATTGCTCGCCAAAGCACGCCTTCAAGACAGCACTCCCGCCACCCCCCGACTTCTTACAGCCTCCGCCCAGATAAATGGAACATGTATGTACCTGGCCATCCGGTCCGCCGTCCATGTTCGCGTTCTGCGGCCGTTTTTCTGGCGCGCAGGGATGCGGCTGCGTTGGGGCCGTGGCATTTCAAAGGCCCGCTGATGCGCGGCTCCGGAGAGGTGTATGGTACGATGATGCATTGACTCTTCAAACCGGTGACGTTTACGACAGCGACAAAGGGAACGACACATGGCTCGATTAGGCAGGGAATATATGTAATCAAGCATCTGAATCCACGACTGCTTTTTGCTGCCGACCCGGGTCTGTCGTTTAAAATTCCGTGTCTGACATGCCTATCGTGTTCGGTTATGACCTTTTTTGCAGCAATGTGTGCAATTAGGAAAGTATGCTGGGCAGTCTCCCGAGTGTTCTCCGCACTACCTGTATGCTTTAGATGGTAGGATCCACCACGTTGTTTCTCGTCTCTTCATACCGCGCGTGCGCACGCTGCACCTCTCTGTGGCTGGATCTCCCAGTGGCTGCGGCGTCCCAAAGGGAGGAGTCGAGCTCCACTGTCCACCGCCACGACATCGCAGACGGTTGTTCCGCTGATAGGTGTAACCCCAAGAGCCAGTAGTGGAACACCCTGGTCACCTTCAGGGAACGTATGGATATGTGTCAATCACTTCTCATACATGTCATGTGTACACAACGCATCCAAAAGCGTGCACTGGCCGCCTGGCTCCGCATGTGTCAGGGATCCGTCCAAACGCACGCCCTGAACTGCCGGCAACCATTTGTCAGGCCGACAGAGCGCACGCAAGATGGCGGCCCGCGTTATTGAAACATCACCCGCCGGCTGCATGCTGTCGGTCTGATTGGCTAAATTGTGACAGAGCCGGCGGGGCAGGTGGTCGGCGGCGCGTGGGGCTTTCGGCCCTGGCGCCCGCGACGTCGGCCGGCCAGATAACCGGATCACCAGTGCTGTTAGTGCACGAGCCTTCTGGCAGTTACGA